GACCATTAGGTTGAGTTTCACCCAACCCCTAGTAAAGAGGACTACTCACAACTCATTTCAAGTGACATGCAAAGTTCCAAGTTGGGATTCTAAGTAATTCTAAAATTGGGGAAAAGTAATTCACTATGGATAAAACTAACATACAACAATAATTTATCAAGATTAAGAGAGATTCAAGTGACTTGCAATAACAAAATAAAATCAGAAAATAAGTAGAGACAAGTGAAAGAAGTTACTATTGAAGCTTCAAAATTTTGAATAAATGCTGAAAATCTGAGAATGAAGATTCTACAATGATTAGAATTGAGAGTTTCCAAACTAAATCATCAACTAATTTAATGAACTAAGGTGCTAGCTAAGAGGAAGTTTTCTGAAAACTATTCTACTGCTTGCTGTCTTTAAAATGAACTAAAGGGGAAGTATTTATACTCCCCGAATTACATAGGAAAATCCGTCAAAAGTAACCCATATTCCCAGTCTGGAGCGGGGAAGTAGGAGCGCCCTCTCCACAGTCAAGCATGCCCGCTACCCTGATCTTCAGTAGATGGCAGATTCAAGATATCAGGGCCCCGCTCCTAGATAGTTGCGCGCCTGCTTCTCCTGTTCCAGAAGCTTGGCAAATTCGAGCTTAGCAGCTAGGAGCGCCCGCTTCTCAATGAGTGCACGCCCGCTCCTCTAAATCTTATATTTGGGCAGATTCTTAAGTTCTTACAGGTGGAGCTCCACTGGGAGCGATCTCTCCCTTCATCATTTTCTGCCTCCATTCTCAATCCATGAACTTCCTTGCCTTGGCTCGCTTCACTTATACCTGCAAATTAAGTACACAAACAACCAAGGAGGAGGCAAGGCCAAACTGCAACATTTATATACAAAAGGGTTAGAAAGAGGGGAAAAGATTACAAAACAGTTTTAAAATCACCACAATAAGTGGTCGAATAAACCACTTATCAGATTCGCACAGATATCTAGTAATCTTATAAATAATTTCAGAAGACTAGTTCCAATTTCTTGTGAGAAGGATCATCTCAGAGGAGCACATAAGCCAATCATCTCATTTTCTACGTTAGAGCCTAAAAACATGAAATATCTATCAAGAGAACTCGGCAACATATGAAATCACTTTTGATCTACGGGCTATAACAAGATAATGATTTGGCATCAAATGCCACTTTCTCTTCAAAGAAAAATACTTTCCTAATAAACTAGATGCTTTTAACGATAAATCCACCTTCAATTGACATTATTAGGGAATTGTGGTGGATCATAGCATAAAACTTTAGGAATGAATCATATATATAGAATAATGTAGAAATTATTCATGAAGCTTAAGAGTTAGTGAGCCTACCAGTGGGACTAAACCTAAAGTTTCATGTAAAAATGTGAAGCAAAACAATCTTGCAATTATTGTTTTACATAGCTTGCATCCACTAATGTAACTACCATGAGTGTAGTGGCAATTTTCCAACCATCAGCACCATGAATTTCAACGCTTCTAACATTCTAGTTCTAGTCCATTACAGTAGAAAATTGAAAAAATAAATGGGTTCGGATCTCTAAAATGATTAGCTCTAAAAACGATCTACATTTCTATCACAGAATTATAAAATTAATCAAACAGAACCCATGAAAATCAAGAAGAAAAATTAAAAACCGCATTAAAATTAAAAGTCTGTAATTAGCAAAAAGAAAAGAAAAGCTTACTGTTAGATTGTGAGAAAACAGCAAGACGAAGAACCCAAATATCAAAGAAGTCGAACCAAACAGAAGCTAAACGCAATGAACCCACCAACATCACCACCAACCTAATGGCTTCATCACTCTCTAATCTCCTACCTAAGCTTTGAGGAAACGGTGTCCATACAATTACTTCTCATTCTGGAAAATAATGGACAGACTATAAGTCCAATCCTTCATGTCATCGGCTTCATATCTATATGACACACAAATAATTCAATTTAATATTATGCCAATCTAAGTTGGTTATCAAGAAAACATATACAATTTTATTGCAGTGCCCAATCTAGTTCAATTCGAGAAATATAATACAAGTACCTCTCAATCTAAATACTACAGCTTGAGCAGTTTCTAATCATTCTAGTTAGGTGACAGGATTTAAAGTGCCAGAATTGCATTTCTAATCAAATCCAGTAACAAAATTAAAATGGGAGCTAATAGTTAATAAAATCAAACTAGTAAGACCTTTCAGCTCTTTAATTAGCTTATTAAATCTAATTAGCTTGGAATGCAAATCAAACTGAATTTAGCTTAAAGTATAACTTTTACTTTGAATTTTTAGTTACTCCAACGTACAACTACAACTCCAATTAGTAATCACAAATTCACCATCAAACAATAAAATTCGTCAAAATCTATCAACAATAAATTATCCAAGTAAAAAATACAAATATCCCAAAAAGAACAGAAGAAAGAGAATGAACCTCTATAAGCACCACCATTACCGCATCCACGTTGCCGCCGCCACCACGGACAATCAGTAACTTCTTCACTGCAGTTTAAATGAAATCCGAAGAGATGAAACACTGTCAAAGATTAAAACCGTGTTACTGTCATTAATATCATATTCAGCCACAAGTTTTGCTATCAGTAGTTCCATACTCTCAAAAATCGATGCGACCTCTACAGACAGGTCAAGTACTGGTCTTAAACCCTCCATGACTCGCTGAACTGCATCATGATTGACTGTAAACACAAATGTACATAATTAGTGGGAAGAAAATTTGAGAAGAGATTTATCAATTTGTCACATCGCGCACCTTGAAAAACCCTAATCCATTCGAATCTACTCATATATAGAATCAATCCCTAAACTAAGATGAACCACGACCATTAGAGCGGTGGCCGGAACCCTCAAAATCATCCATTAGAGCGGTGGCCGAAACCCTAGGCAGCGGACGTCCTCGCACAGTAGCCGAAACCCTTAACATCAGGAGCCCTTGCACTGGTGGCCGACAGGCCGGTTACAATTAAGGAAGGAGAAAGAGGAGGGGCGGCGACCTGGCGTAGGCTTGAACGTTGTAGAGAGGACGAGGGAGAGCTGTTTGAAGGAGAGGAAAAGGGAGAAACATTGTATTGAATTGGAGGTTAGAGCGTGAAAAATTAAGTGATGGAGATATTATAAATATACGGCAATTTCATGAAATGCCACTAAGTATTTAAAAAATTCACCAAATTTCATCGTGTTTTTCAAAATTCACCAAATACCACTGAGGTTTAGTACAATATCACCAAATGTCATTTCCGTTAGTTGACCGTCAGTGTCCGTTAGTTGACCCACCACTTGTCACGTGTCACCTTCTGATTGGTCCATATTAAAAAAAAATTGTTTTTAAAATTAAAAAAAAATTAAAAAATAAACCAAAAATATTTAAAATAAATAAAAAAAATAATAAAAAAAAAAAAAAAAAAAACCACAAAATTAAAACCAGCCACCCTGCTCCCCTCCGTGACCACCTCCCGCCAGCGCTGTACTACCCCTAAAAACGCGTGCCAGATCCAGCGACACCCACCTCAACCTCGAACCACCCTCCCCTTCCCCTAAACCACCTTAACCCCTCCCTAAAACCCCCTGAAATTGGCAACCCAAAACCCCAGCCATCCCCGAAACCCCCGAAATCACCCTTCCTCTCCCTTTCCGATTTCTAGCCACTCCACCTAAAGACCGATTTCCAATTCCAAATTGACACCAACCAATTTCTAGCCGCCGCACCGTTACCAAAATCCCCCGGCGACTTCAGAGGAGTGACAGAAGCAGAAGAAGCGGCGAATCGGGATGAGAAATCTGGGTTTGGGGTCGGTTAGGTTTTGGGAAATGGGGTTTGGGAAATGGGATTTGGGATTTGGGAAATGGTAAAAGAAACAACAACTTACCTGAGAAGCTGCTTCAATGGGGGATACAAGGTGGTGGGAGTGAGGCGATGGCTGCCGGAGATTGTGGAGGAAGGGGGGCTCGAAATCGTGGAGGGGGAAGCGCTACAATGGAGAACTGAGAGAGAGAGACGCGAGCAGGAAAATGTAGAAGGTCGCCGGAATGAGAAGGTGGTCGGAGTGAGGCGACGGCTGCCGGAGATTGTGGAGGAAGGGGGGCTGGAAATCGTGGAGGGGGAAGAAAGGAGGCTGACCAGAGGGGGAGATTGTGGAGGAAGGACGGTTGTCCCTCATTTTCTCTCTCCTCCTCTTTTTTTTTTTAATTTTTTAAATTTTTTTGGTTTTTTTAATTCTTTAATTTTTTAAAAATATAATTTTTTTTAAAACGGACCAATTAGAAGGTGACACGTGGCAAGTGGTGGGGTCAACTAACGGACACCGACGATCAACTAACGGAGATGACATTTGGTGATATTGTACTAAACCTCAATGGCATTTGGTGAATTTTGAAAAACACGATGGCATTTGGTGAATTTTTTAATTACTCAGTGGCATTTCATGAAATTGCCGATAAATATATGTAATAGAAATAAGGTAACACCTATTAATGTTGCCATAAAATGTTACCCATTTTAAAAGTGTTACTTTGTAGTGTTACTTATGTTAAAGTTGTTACATTTTAAAAAAATGTTACCAAAGTGTTACTTATAAATCTAATAATTTTGCATTTCAAAAAGTGTTACCAACATGTGTTACATAAACAAATGTACTAGTGAACATATATATCTTAGATAAAAAAAAAAAAACAATTTATCTTAAAATTCAATAAATAACTCGAGCATCTCACGAGGCACAAAACTGCACTAGTAGAAAAAATGAATTAGGCACCGCACATTTCGCACCGGTTCTTGAAAACCGGTGGCAAAAGAAATGGGTGGGATTGGAGAGATGACTTTTCCCACCGGTTTAATATTAAACCGGTGGGAAATCTTCTTTTTTGCACCGGTTCTAACCAAACCGGTGCGAAATGTTAAAAAAAAAAACCGGTTTATTGCTTTCTTTCTTCTTCTTTCTTTTTTACCCCCTGCTTTCCCTCTTCGTTCTTCTCTTCTCTTTCTCTCTCGTTTTCGCATCTCCTTCTCTTCCCGAATTCCACTCCATTGAAGCAGCTCGCTCTCTCTCCATTGAAGTGGTTTACGAGCTTTCTCACTCCACTGAAGCAGCACCTCCTTCTCTCTCCATATCTCTGGCCTCCATTGAACTCACGCGTGCTCTATATTCTCCATTGAAGCCGATTCTGAGCTTTCTCACCTCTATTGAAGCAGCTTCGAGGTAAGATTTTTCTTGTGGTCTACTTAATCCCTCGAATTCATTCGCAATCTAGGGTTTGTCGTTGATTTTATTTTCAATTTAGTAATTTAGGGTTGTGGTAATATAGGGTTTGTCATTGAAGCGCGCACGGCTACACCTCCACCACAACGGCCCCCTTGTCACGGCGGCACGACCTCGAACAGTGAACCTGGTGTCTGGTGAGCTTGCCTTTCTGGTTTGTGTTACTTGTTGTGCATTGAGTTATGCTCGAGTTATTATGTCTTTCAACTTTGTAAATAATTATGCTGTGCACGATTTGTTGATTACTCGTGTACGATTTGCTCCAGAATCCAACAATCATCTCATTTCATCTTGGGATTCTGTAAGTTACTATTATTTGCTTCTTCATAAATTTTTATTCACAATTTTCTTTTGAATTTAACTCAATTTAATTAATTTTTTATGAATTTTCTATGAATTTTACTATTTCTTTTTTATATGCAATGTTCAAAAGTCTAGCTATAAATCATTCACAACTTTTTCAGTTTATAAAAGAGTTGAATAAGACTGTGTTTGGTTCTGAGTTGAAGGTTGTCTCTTTAGGTTCTAGGAAGAATCTCTGCATCAATCAAGGTATATAAACAATATAATCCATGATTTATTTACATCTTCTGAATTTCATCCATATTCATCTTATAATTTTTTTAAAAATAACTCTTTGATCCTGATACCTGGCAAAACTTGTTAATATATATCTCTATTAATTTACATTTGGCAGTTGTGCATCATATGTATGATAGTATGAATATATAGCATCCTCTAATGTTATTGAAACCTGCAATTTTTTTGACACATTTCTTGCCAATTGCCATCATTAGTTATACGAAACCAATAAGAATCAGATTTTCTGAGATGGGGTTTTGTGGCATTGGTGTTTTCTAACTGTATTATGATAATGGGAGGAAGTTTGCTCATTTTATATTTAGCTGTGGCCTGTGGTTACATTCCTGCTGCTTGGCGGCAAAGTTGTATTCCGTGTTTCCTAATATTTTGCAATTTGGGATTTTCTCCATTTATGTTAATTCAGAGGTGCTGAAGATTGGTAACCCTGCTAGTATCAATGAACGTTGTTTGGAGCTGCACAATAGTAAGAAAAGTGGAGGTTCAAAGATCAAGGTGTGTGATACCTTGCTTATTTGAATTTTCTTTTTCAGTTGATCTTGCACTAGAGATAGTTGAACAGTTAATTTGTGCTCTCATTAAACCTTATCAACTCATCGCTAATATCATTTTAGTACTTTATTATTTAAGCATTTGAATGTCACTTGTATTGGACATGTCAATTGTCTAATCATTGCGTGGTTGAATAGAATGATTGTATAGTACGTTAGTCATTGCGTGGTTGAATAGAATGATTGTATGCTTTGTTTCCTGGTAGGTTTTCAAAGGCAGAAAGATGGCTGGGCGCATGGGTGGCAAACAGCGGACAGTGAAAATCGGTGGGAAAAGAAATGGGCGGGATTGGAATTATACAGAGGTAATTTCTCTCAACTTGGTATATAGGTTGTGTTATAAATTGTAGACAATGAAAGGCTATAAGGACTATTTTAGGGTGGCTTGCCCATAGTAACACTATTTAGTGTAGGATGACAGTGTAATTTGTTCCTGATTTTAATGCTTGCTGTTTTGTTTTTGTACTATTGGCTTTCTATTTAATTGTGAAATTGTTGTGTTGCTCTTTTCTCTTTGGTTATATATAGAGTGGTTTGGTTTTGGAGAGTCTTATTGTCTTCTCTTCATTTTCTTTTGCCTGTAAGTATATGGTGTTTCAGAGGCAACTTTTTTTTTTTAATTATACAGTGTACTTTAACAAATGAACCTTGATTACTGAACCTATATTAAGCTAAATCTGCTAATTCTGGACACCAAAAACTGAACAGATTTCAAACTACCCTACTATGATGCTAGACTTTATAATCATATTGGACTGTACAGTGATACTCAGAATGATGCTTGCTAATGATAATTTAGTTTGAAAAATTCAGACTTTACTATTTGTTGGTTAAAATGGTTTTTGTTTGGTGCATTTTATATGATTTGGCTACTCAAATTACAAATTAGGTTTGTTGTCGTTTAATTTGTATAGTATGGCATTGAATAGGAAAGATCTAATTTGAGTACTGTGTTATCAGGGGGTTCGTTTTATTAAGCTTTTGTGATGATTTGTTCCCTTGGTTGTAATACAGAAGTTCATAGGTGAACTTTTAATCAAGTAGACAGATTATTATTCATTCAGATTGGACCATCAGATCACATGTTCTTACAAAGCAAGGAGTTCTAACATGGGTTTACAAAGCAAAGCAATGCAAGCAGTAGCAGAATAGCAATAGCAGAACAGCAAGCAGAACACAAAGTAGCAGAAGCAGAACAATAGTAGCAGAAGCAGTAGCAGAACAGCAGTACCAGTAGCAGAAGCAGAACAGCAGTAGTTATGATATCCTGGATGTGATAGTTCTTAGAGTTATCGGAGGTGTTCTGGGCAGCTTTTATAATTATCTTGTTGACATGCACTATCGTTCACAACGTTGTAGCACCAGGCCCAGCAAAACAGCTATATGTTTTTTTTTTCAGTTTTTAAAGTGTAATATTACAAGTTATTGAGACAAATATATGTGTTTTATGTATATTATGATTATATATAAGTATTTGGTACAATTTAAGTGAAAAAAATGCAAAAAAAAAAAAAAAAATTTAATTTTTTGGGGCACTTTTGCCACCGGGTCAGTGTGAAAACCGGTGGGAAATGTAATAGTTTTGCCACCGGTTCACTTGAAAACCGGTGGGAAAAATCCTCCAGCTATAAGATAAATCACATGTTTTTGCCACCGGTTTTGAACCAGTGGGAAATCTTTGGGGATTTAGCACCCCCCAAATCAAGAACGGTCAAAACCGGTGGGGAATGTGTGGTTTGAACCGGTGGGGATTGAGGTTTTTCGCCTAGTGCTAGTGTATTATAAATGGATCTTATTTTAAAAAACTTTTTGAAACAAATTTTATGATGGAAATAAAACTGAGTTATAAGATATTTATTAAAAGTTAAATGAATAATTTTGTTTACATGAAATATTAGAAGTATAGTGATAACAAAACTCTATCTAAAATCTATCTAAAATTCTCTTACTTAACATCATATGTGTCACAATAATACCTATATGTCGCCTACATGGCTTGACACTTGTCGAAAAATTGGAATGCAAGTGTCGTTGTCTCGTGGCCTGTCTGCGAGACCGGCTTTATTTATTAGTGATATGATATGATATGATATGATATTAGATTAGTCATCAATAATTTGATTTTAACTTGGTCTAAAGATAAAACTGATACAAGAACTAATCTAATGAGAAAACTAATACTAAGTGTTAATGATATAATATGAAAAATGACACATGAATGACCTAATAGTGAACTAATAATAAGGTGATAATCAATAATTAATAAATCAATAATTAATACACTCTTCCTTTTCAAATAATTGACACACTTTTGTTTTTTGCTAGTTCCTTAATAATTGACACATTACTAAAAATGGCAGACCCACTAATATTTACTGTAATTGTTTATCTTTCTGACAAGGTAAAAATATCTAAATTTCTATTTTTAGATATTTTTTAGGCACAATGTGATGTAGGAGCATCCTTGAAACCTACGAGTTGTGTGACTATATGATCCGTTTGGTGGCATTTATGGCTCCAATCTACTTTTTGGATAAATTCTCTATGTTATTACATGGCTTACGTGAATAAAGTAATCCTTGTGTCTTAATTTTACAATTGATGGTTGAAGATAGAGCATAGGAACAAGGATGAGAAAGAAAAGCTTTTACTTGGTAAAAAAAATGCAATACTCAAATTCAATCAGCTATATCTTCTTCTTTACAAGGATTTTTCAGGTGATTCAAGTTGGAGGTGAAAGTAGAGTCCAAGAGCTTCCCAACACATGTCACATGCCCAATTTGAGCAAGAAACAAAGAAGTTATGAACGTTTGAAGTTGAGCTGTCCAGACAGTCGCGAGGAACACTCGCTCCCCCTATAAGGAGCGCCTACTCCCCCAAGAGGAGCGTCTGCTCCTCACAATTGAGCGCCCGCTCTTAAGGGCGTCACTTGAAGTTTCAGTAGTGAGGAGCGCCCGCTCCTACCCTTTAGAGAGACCACTCCCGAGGCCTTGTTTTGAGAGGACAACTTCTTTTCTTTTGTGCTTCTTTTTGCTATCTTTTAATCTTGGCCTTTCATTTTTAATCCAAGGGGTGTAGTTTAAGAACCTTAGGATTTATTTGTAAAGTCTTTAAATAGGGCTAAGCTTTCTTTTGGGAAAAACTTTTGCTTAATTTTGAAATCAATGAGATTTTCTCTCTCTACCCATAATCTTTGTGATTATTTGCTTTCTTTGTGATTGCTACTTTGTAATCTTTGCGGTTACACCTTAATCCTACCTTTACTTTGTGTTAGCTTTGATTAAGAAACCCTATTTCATAGATCTTCACTAGTAGAAATTAACGCCTTATTTGTAAACAACAAGTTTTTATTAGTTAAAAATACTATATTTGTAACCAACATTAACTATGTTCGTTACAAATAGGATAGTATTTGTAACGAACAGCATAATGTTGGTTACAAATACATCCTATTTGTAACGGACAACATTATGTTGGTTACAAATACATCCTATTTGTAACGAACAATATATAGTTGGATACAAATAGGAAGGATATTTTTTCGCCCAAATCCCAATACTCCCCTAACCCTAACTACCATTACGAATAGCCGCCCCCTTCTTTCTCTCATCTCTATTCTCTCTCCTCCTCCCTTCTCTTTCTTTTTCTCATTTTCTTTCTTTCTTTTCGTTCTCTATTCTCTGTATCCTCCTCCCCACTTTCACTCTTCCTTCATTTCTCTCTCCTCTCGAATCTCTTTGTCCTCCTCCGCCCTTCTTTCTCTCTCCTTTTTCTCTCAATGTCTTAGTAATACTCTCCTCCACAAGCACACACCGCCACCCATGAATTGTTATCGTCAACAACCAAGCTTCACCATCAATTCACCGTCAACAACCGCGCGTGCAGAGCCGACCATCCACTGCCTACGCAAGCCTTCGTTGCCAGCCTAAGGTTTTTGAATTTTAGATCTTATTTTGATTTAGATTAGACACTAGATTTAGGTTTGTTTATTTTAAATTTCTAATTGTAAATTTTTTTTATGTAATTTTAATTTTAATTTTAATTTTAATGTATAATTTTTAGATGATTTTATAATTATTTATTCCTTTCGAATTTTTGGACTTTTTGTGTATATAATTTCTGTTAATTTTTGAATTTTTTTGTTTAATATGTAGATAATTTTGTTTTAATTTCGTAATATTTGTGTATAATTTTTTGGTTTTTTTTATTTGTATGATGGATCAATATTTTTGTGCATTTGGTGGTGACGTTTGGTATTGGTGGTGTTTGTAGCGGTTGTGGCCTGGGTGGGGGAGAAGGGATACGAGTTAGGGTGGTGGGATTCGTGGGTGGGCAAGGGCAGTGGGGCCATCTTGGTAGTGGGTAATAGTGTGGGTTACGGGGTTGTGACCTGGCGGATCGTGGTGGTAGTGAGGATGGTTTGCGGTGTGGGATAGTGGATCGTAGTTGGGGCAGTGGGGTGGGTTTGGGTCATGGGCAAGGGTATTGCGCATCTCGGGTTCAGGTTCAACGTGACATCTCAACCTAGCATTATTTGCTAGGTATTTTTTTTTTAATTTCATAAATAAGCATTTGTAAGATATGTCCGTTACAAATAGGTACCTATTTGTAACAGACATATCAATTTCTTCGTTACAAATAAGCACCTATTTGTAACGGACAATTGTAAAGTCAGTTACAAATAGGTAATTATTTGTAACGAACAATGTCCGTTACAAATGACTAGACTATTTGTAACCCCAACAGTCGTAACCCCCAATGTTGGTTACAAATAGCCCGTTTTTGTTAGTTACAAATAGCATTTTTTCTACTAGTGCTTGGTGATTGTTGTGATAGATTTATCTTATTTTGTTAATTTGAAATTGTAGTTACATGATTATATTCTCCCCCCTCTTTTCTTGGTTTCTTGGTTATTTCATATCAATTTGGTATCAGGAGCCTAGGTTATTAGCTTAGAAAGATCATACCTTTTGAATTTCTCTTTCCCTCTCTCAAAAGATCTCATCTTTGTTCTCACAAATTTGAATTTTTTCTCTCAATGATACAAATTTTCCATCTTGAAACATGGATGATAGATACTCTAGATTGGATGCTCTAGAAAGGAAGTTTGATAGTCTTCTTGAAGTCTTGGAAAATAGAAGAAGCCCTAGAAGAAGGAGAAGTCCAAATGGAGAAGATGGTTCTCATTCTCCTCACCGGAGAAGGGAACACCAACAACGGCACCATGAGGACAACCGTGACCGAGACATCATTTTGGAACTTCCGGACTTCGAAGTTAATCTTGATCCTAATGAATTTCTTGATTGGGTTAGCACTATGGAGAAATTGTTTAATTGCAAAGGCTATACTACTACATTTTTTATCTAATCCAACGGCAAATTTCGTTGTATTAGGTGTTAAAAACCGTTGTATTAGACCTAATCCAACGCTTGTATACCGTTACATCAGCTGGCGTTGTATTAGGCCTAATACAACGGCTTATTGCATCTAATACAACGGCTGCCAATATGGCGTTGGATTAGGTACATGCCGTTGTATTAGCTTGATACCTAATCCAACGGCATTTTGGCTGCCGTTGTATTAAATGAATATGCAACAAAATCATAATCTATAGACCTAATCCAACGGCAAGGCTAATGCAACGGTATTTTCCCCCTATTACAACGGTATATGTCACATAATACAACGGTATATGTCACCTAATACAACGGTATATTTTCACCTAATGCAACGGTCGTACATGAAATATACTACGTATTATGTTTTTTTGAGGGAATACATATATATTTTGTTAGTTAGTTTAAATTTAAAAGGTAACAATAAATATAAAATATATCAATATATTTATAACAATAAACGAAGTATATATAATATGTACATTATATTACATTACAAAATATTGTTTCCATATATATGTTACACTACCTATACTAACTAATAATAAATAATAAAATTTTACTAATTAAAAATCGTCCAAAATACACATCTTAATCTTCACAAGCTCGAACTAAATAAAATTAGTCACCGACGTGTACGCTCCATTTGTTGGATGACAATATATAATCATTGTACTTCATTCATCTCCATCTAGCTCGCCATGCACCTACATGTAAAAATAAAAGAAATTCATACTTGAATATAACGATACAAATAAGGCACTGTAAATATCATGTTGTCATTAAGAAGCATGGCTGGATACAAATAACAGACATGCAACACCAAATTTCACCCACACCTTGATAAAGTATTATCGCCCATGCATTGATGAATCATTATGAATATAACAATGGTAGAGCTCAAGAAAAAAACAAAACATGTTATTAGATTCACCTTGTATTGTTTACTTAGGTAATGAGAATACACCTAGAATTACTAAACCACTCAGAATTACCCAGCCCAGTCCCATGCTATACTCTTTTTTTTTTTTTTTTTTTTTTGGTAAGTAAGCAATTTTATTAATACCAAAGAGAACAGGGCAAGCCCTCAAGGTTACAAAGGCTAAACAGCCAAAACGTACAAAACACAAAGCCACACCCAAGCCTACCCAACTGCCTATACACAAAAAACCGAAACAAACTGGGCCAAAAACACAACAGGCCCAAAGCAAAAGCTAAAACATCAGAAAGCACCAAAACACAAGAACTCTAGCCCAAACAGAAACACGCCCAAGGGAAGCAGAGGCCCCAGGCAACCAAAACAAACACACTGGACCCAGAAGGAGCAGCAACCAAAACACAACAGAAACCTCTACAAACCAGGCACACCACGTGCCTAATCTGTCAGAAAAACTGAAAACCATAAGCAAAAGAGCAAGCCTCTAGCAGCCCCACCAACACCAGAACACAGAACACAGCAAGCAAGCCTAAACAGGCTGCTAACAGGACAATCTGCTGAACAGCTACCCATACAGAGAGTAGCAGCAGACCCTATCCCTTTCTTTCCCATACAGAACAATATCATCATCAACATGTTGGAGAAAATATTAGCACACACAAAAGCAGGAGAAAATATTAGTTGTACCTGATTACATGCTGCACCTGATTTGGAAGATTGGCCACTATGGTTACTGATTCGATTTGGTGCACTGGATGCATCATTCGGAGTCGATTGCAGCAGAACATCAGGAATCACAATATTAATCTCAGGGTTAGCCTCGCGAATTTGAGCCAAAACTGCAGTGGTAACACTTGATATGAATTCCTCTGGGAATATGAAATCGGGCTTATTCGCTTTCTTCTTCAAATCTGTCTTTTTCACACCCGATCCATACAGATGCACACGACTTTTGCGTTTAGCAGTACGAATCACTTCGTAGTAAGGGTCGTTGCAATTATTACCATCTTCATGTTGGGAAGACTCCACAGCATCCATTTTGGCCTATTAGGTAAATACAGTAATTTATTAGCAATTATCGAATAAAATACACACAAATACAAATTATATCTAAGATGCTAACTCACAATGTTCTCCTTTGCTTTTTCACAACTAGTTTTGTATGTCCTTCCAGAACTTCTTTTTCTCGATTTCTTATAAACCTTTGCTTGAGAAGGCTCTTGCTTATCCGGATCTTGTTGCCGCTATAAATGTTAAATAAAAAGGGTAAAGCCTCATATATATAGGACAAGTGATGAATATGAAATTGATCATGTAGTTGTCTATGATTAGATAAAAGTATTTACCAATTCATGGCGTAAAATGGCAAATGACTTACGACCCAAAGTGTGCATTTCATCTAACATTAGACGATTGTCTTTGTTGTTGTGACTGATTTTCTATAAAATATTACAATCCAACTATAATTCAATTAAATATATATATGTGATTAAAATATAATAGATTAAAATCCATTTATACAATACCTTAGCCTCATCGGTATTCCAATATAACAAAAGATCTCTAAACTGAAGATTTGAAATTGTATCAGGCTTATTTTTCCACCTTAAAGCGTCATTATCATATGCATAGAAGTGTTTTTTCTTGATTTGGCATTTATGATACCTCCAACAGTTGTTCACAGCATCCATCACCCAACTTATTCCACCATCAGGAACAATATACTTTGATCGTCAGAGATGGAACTCCTACCAACAGGAGTTTCCGTTGTTTTGCAGGTATAGCCGGCAGGGAATCCAGTCTTGGTGACGTAACTCTCCTGTAGGACACAGAAAACCCCGAAACACTAGTCAATTCAAACATATAATAATAATAATTATTATTGTTATTGTTATTGTTATTGTTATTGTTATTGTTATTGTTATTGTTATTATTATTGTTATTATTATTATTATTATTATTATTATTATTATTATTATTATATCAATGAGCTTTGCTTAGGGGATGTTTGGTTCATCAAGTTGGAATGAATTGGTATGTAATCTCACGTTATAGAGCTATGGATTCTAAGGACTAAAACCCATACTAGTCCAAAATTGTTTGGTTTTACTGTTGGAATGGATTTTATTATTTATTAATAGAAAGGATTGTGAATTTTAGGGGGAGGGAATGGACATGAGATTCTATGGGTTTGGGGGAGAGTTAGAACCCCTTAGGTATGAGATAAAAACAGTGCCAAATAAATGTGACGTTGCAAACATAAGTGACATGAAACATTAACAAACCCGACCCGTTATGAGTCAACCTCAACCTTAAATTCTATTTCAATTATCCGAATTGACACCTCTAGTAGGCTAGAATCCTAGATATGATGGTGGAAGAAAACGAAGCCACGACGCCTCCCTATCACCCTTAGCTTCATTCGCACACATCGTATCGATTTATCAACCCCAACACTTATTCTTCTGAATCAATGCATCGTAAACAAACCCATGTCATCTCACTCGAAACTACTTCTTTCTTCCAACGAACACCAGAAAACATAACATCACACCACACAAACGAAATCACAAATCAACATTTCAATTCTCGAGCTCTGATCATCAATGGCGGATCATTACAGAATCCTAGGAATCACAAAAAATGCTTCAAAATCAGAAATTAAAGATGCTTTTCGTAAATTAGCGGTTCAATTTCACCCTGATAAACACGCACAATCCTCAAAGTCTGCTAAAGATGCTGCAACTCTTAAATTCAAGCAGGTTTCTGAAGCTTACAAGGTTTTAATTGATGATCGAAAGCGTGCTGCTTATAATATAAGCAGATACAGCAGTGGCGAAAGTAGCAATTTTTATAATAATAATAACAGCAGTTACAATGCTGGTTACTGTCGTCGCGGTGGTTCTTATTATCGACCGCCACCATCTTCGTCGTCTGGAGCTAACCGCTTTGCGACGAATTTAGATGCCGTTTTTCGATATATGACGACTCGTTCTTTCCTTCTTCATCTTGCCTTTGCTGGGTACATATTTCTTTCTCTTCGCTATTATTTGGTTGGTTGTTTTATGTGCATTTTCAATCTTAATTAGGTTTGTAGTTGTTGTTGTAGAGCTGTGAATTAGTGGAGTATTTGTGGAAATTGTTAACAATTAGAAAAATATAGTACTGGATTATTGTAATTTAAGGGTGATTTAGGATTCTGAATAATATAGTATATATGTATTATTGTAATTTAAGGATGATTTAGGATTTTGAATAATGTGTTGGTTGTTGTTCATGTTTTTGTAGAATTGTGAATTTTGATGGAGTATTTGTGGGTTATGATCAAGGGAATTGTAAACTATTAGAAAAATATAGTGCAATTGTTATTTGGGGATGATTTTAGGATTCTGAATAATGTGTTATGCTGGTTGAATTGTTTTCTTGGGACTCGGGGGAGTACGATTTGTATAGCTGTCCGAATGAAAACTAGCTTTTTTTTTTTTTATTTTTTATTTTTTATTTTTTTTTATGAAGGAGAGAGTAGGTAGAGAAATAGCAATGGATGGGATAGAGAAAGGAGTTATAGGATAAAGATGTTTGAGAGAAAATGGTCAGAAGAGAGCGTATGGGTTAAGAGTTAGGAGAGACAATGGCCTGGAAGCGGAAAATTTGAAGTTGGAACCATGTGGTGAGAGTATGCTAGTGTCAATATAGTGTAAGTATGCTAGTGTCAATATAGTGTATGTTGTTAGGAAATCACACTGGATATCCGTTGGGGACAGAGAGTTGGAGTTCTCTGTGTTTGATTGCATTTGACGCTGAACATTTATTGAAATGCATTTCAACACTTGATGGTTGCATGTGGTGACTCTGTGGCAAGTCAGTTGGAGGAAAATAGATGCTATCTGAAGTAGTGTAAAAGATTCCTAATTGGAGCTTGTGAAGAGCATTTTTATTCTTCTCACTCTTGTGACATGTGAGAATGCGAGATAGTTCCTTTGCTTTAGTAGTTCTATTGGAACTAGTAGGGAAGAAATCATTAAGAAAAGAGAAGACTTAGCAAGAAAGGAACAAAATATAAACTGAGGAAACTGATTTACACAACTGGTGTAAAGGGCTAAGGAAAAGATAAGCAATCTGGTAATCTTTCATTTGAGAAGTTATGTACTTAAGCTCATTATAAACTTATTGAGCTATCTTATGTCAAATCTAAAAACCATTATACTCTCAGTAAATCGAAGAGCTTCAAAGACCTCCTAGGCACATTACACCTAAAATTCCTTGACCTTTTTGGAAAGGATATTGGTTTACTCTCTTAGGCATCGCACCCAAGCACAACCTAGCTTTTGGATTCATTCACTCTTAACATCCACTATAGAGACATTATACCAGATACAAACCCAATATATATATATATATATATATATATATATATATATATATATATATTCATTATATTCAAAAGTTTTTTGTATAATGGGAAGTGCTTCTTGTTATAGAGCATTAGAGAACCTTCTCTTTTAGCTAAGGAAAATAAAATGAAATAACATTACTAAATTGTACATATGTGTTAAATTGGAAGAATATTCTAACAACTCTTATCGTGATTGAAAGATATTTCTCTCTAAAAACCACTTGATGTAAGCTGTTCTGACACTCTTTCAAGTTCCTTAAACTATATTTCTGTTTCTTAAGGTTATGGTTTAACTTCCAAACCTTCTCTTCTTAAGTAGCTGAGCTGCACTACACAGCAAGTTGTTTACTTTAAATGTTTATAATCTCCATTACAGCCACCATAGTTAATTAACTTCTCTAGTTTTATTAGTGCTTAACTAGTTATCATCAATCTAAATTGATCAGTATCTAAATTGACCAAGATACACCTGTGTCTTATTCTGAACTTGCTCTGTTTAGAATAGAAACTGTTCCAGATTTGAGCTCAACAGAGATATCTGCAGAAGGCCTCTTTAATTATGTCCAGTAGTTGAATTAACTTAAGCTGATTTGAAATTTCAACATTCTGTCTCTCACCACCGCTGAGCACCACTGCCACCTGACGTTGGCGTTGAGGGACGCTGGGAGAGGAGAAAGGAAAAACGAAGGAAAAGAAGGCACTTTTAGAGTATAACTCCGAATTGAGCGGTTTTTTATCCTAACCTCATTTGTGAGGAACAACTTTGTCAGAAATGGCAAAAAGCTAATTTTGACCAGAAATTGGTGAGAATGGGCTTTGCAGTATGCTGACTGAAAAAAACCATACGTGAAAAGTAAAGAGATAAAAAGAGAAAATCAAGGGGATACAATAAAAATAATTAGAGCTTGTAAAATTGTGTAATTGTGTATAAGGATATAGTATTTATAGATGAAAATTAAATAAGCTTGAAGAATGAGCTACTCAATTCAATTTAGGAAACTTTAAGTTATATCATGCAATTAAATGATGGGTTGTATGATCATTTAAGTTTGGGCTTAGGAAGTAAAATCGACCCAAAGGTTTAATCTTTAATGAATAAGAGTTAGGACTTCATAAATATGTAGTCACCGTGTTCAAACCTAACACTTGGTTCATCAGCTGTTTGTCATCGATACATTTGTGTTAGTAACATTTTTAAGCCATATATAGAGAAATGATATTTGTATTCAGATGAAGGTACCACTATACCAATTAGCTATCAGTATTTTCTTTTTGAAGATCTAATTTTCTATAGGTGAGATAGAATTTGGATGTATGTCTTTTTTGGCGTAAGGTTGTGGACTATTCTTTATATTGCAGAGGAGGGATGATTTGGTGTCATTTCTAAGCTAGACTATGAAAGAGGCTATGATGGAGTAGTGAAACTTCTTGGATAAAGTTATGGAGGAGAAAGCTTTTCACTCTGTCACCTAGGCACCTTGGCTGAGGAGGTAGTGACTATCATATATGTGATACCTTTTGGTGGTGGTGTTTTGTGTTGGGTATCATTTCGTTACTTATGAGAGAATGTTTAGGAGTTGTTTGGTTCAAATTGAGGAACAAAATTGAATAAGGAACTTTTCTCCCTTTTTTCTTTTTTTTTTTTTCCTTTCTTTCTTTTTTTTTTTTTTTTTTTTTTTTTTTTTTTTTTTTTTTTTGTTGTTGAAAGAAAGGCACCAAAGTGATGTAAAAAGCTTTTGTGTGAGCAGTATGTTAAGGAATTTTAAATAACTATAAAATGTTGAAACTTTGAATGTCCATAAAAGAACTGCCCGCTAAAGTGTGTCTTCTGGGAAGGCCGGCTGTCAACTGTTGATGAGTAAGTTGATGTCCTTTCTATGGAAGATCATCAGTTTGTCTGCCTGTGCTTGAGTAAGGCTTACAATAATCTCACAGCCGATATTTGCAACTTGATGTCCTCTTGTTCCTACAAAAAAATAGTGTAATTATTATTACACTATTATGATGTTCCTGCACAGTACTAGTATGGGGTTTCTGTCTGTGTATTGGTAGCTCGTGCAGGACTTGTGATCTTCACACCCTATAAATTTTTTCTGTCATTATTACTAAATATTTCTCTAGTTAAGTATAATGGTTGATGTTTGTCTATATCAACTCTCATCCAGCCTGCGTAAAGTATTCATACTTTCATTGATCTATTTTGTAATGCCACGTCGTCTATGATCTTGTCTCATACTGAGTACATAATAATAATGGAGATTTTTTTTTTTTTTTTTTTTTTTTTTTTAAACACATAATAATAATGGAGTTGAGCAAAGGTACATTATATTGCAATGGCCACTTAGCATGTCGGATCTGCAAGTAGTTTGACCTGTAAACTAACTGTGAAATTTAAGTTTGAAAGAGTTTGTGTTTCTTCTTGGTTATTCCTTTTTGATTAAATTGATACCTAACATTCTGGAGAGGAGACGGAAAAAAAAAAATAGTAATAATAATAAATAAATAAATAGAATAAAATAAAATAAAATGAATAGAATAAAATAAAATGAATAGAATAATGAAAAAATTTGTAATGACTTGAAAAAATTTCTAATGGCTATTTAACATTGTTGTTTATGTTCAACTTTTGCAGTATATTACTAGGTGGGACAGTAGTCATTGACATGAGTGGAGAAGCTCTGTGGAAGATGCAAAATCCTGGGGTATGTAATCTGAATGTACTCAAAGAGTCAAAGTTATAAGCCAGTTTTTATCTCATATATCTAGCTGTGGGATGTGCTCTTGTAGGCCCCAATCTTTGTTGCTCACTTTAATTTGTATGTAGTTAGACAAATAAGATATAACTTCTTGTAATTGTGCCTATTGCCTAGTTTCCTATTGTGAGATACGAGGCTCGCTTGATATTTGTCCATTGTGGGCTCAAATATCTTCTCTGGACTTTGAACCAAGACTTCCCGGGCCCCGCCCTCCAACCTCTAGAATAAATAATAGCCAGCATCATCAACTGAGGCTCTCAGTTGATAGGCTTGTTGAGTGCTGATGATCAGTTTACCATTTCCATATTAGTTGAACCATTGGTTGGCTAGAAAAGCTAAATAGGAACATGTATATGACTGGAGATTGTTACCTGTCCAAGCCTTAGCTTTTTGCCTAATTGAACTTATAAATAAAATGTATAAAGGAGCACGAAGCTATAGGCTTATTTCATGTTTTTGTTTCCAGCAATAGATGCCTTCATCTTAATTTCATGTGAGTTTCACACTGATTCTTAGTCTGTTCAGCATGCTTTTGTGATTTAATGTTGGTTAATATAATGCTTTCTGTTTAATACAAATTGATTTGCATATGTTATTGATGTGATTAAATAATGTCGTGTTGCCACTGCTCTTATGGAGTGCTTTTTGTGTTGTTTCAGAAGTCATTTGAAGAAGCAATGAAGTCTATTGAGAAGAACAGAGGGAAGGAGGATTAGCAATTGGTAATTGATACTCTTATTGACAATTAATAGCTTCTTCAAGTAGAATAGAAGCAACATTGGTGCGGACTGTGCAGCTGGTATGGATCTTGTGGATGTCAAAATATGTACAATCTTAACTTGAATAGGCAACGAAGTCAATACTAGCGGAAGCTATAGAGGTGGTTGTAAGTTGTTTCAGTCAATTGTTTAATTTTTTCCTAAATAAGGTATGGGAATCAGTCAATTGTATAATTGTATGTTAGTATGTAAAAATAACCTAATATGTACAAATCTAATGTGTATCACACCCTATATATGACAGTAGTTGTTTAGTTGACAGCAAAAAGTTGAATAGGCAATGAAGTTTAGTTGTTTAATTTTCTTGGGAATGAAAACTTGGAATAAAACTTTCCACAAAACATGGGAATTACCCCTTCCTTTGTCACTAAATATCTATGAAATTACAAAATTCTTTAGGTAGTGTTTCTGTAAGATGAATTTGATTTAAAATTGTATAATTCAATTGCAAAAGCTGAAATGGTGAAACTGAAAATTCAAATCAAGTGTTTGCCAAATCTAAAGCAATTCCACCCTATTAATTTTGATGTAGCATTTCAAGTCTAAAACTAAAAACTATTTATAGTTGGTGTTTATGGATGAATCACTGCCATCGTTAGAGTTTTAATTTCCCCCTCCACCGCCACTACCTCCAATGAATCTCGTGCCTTCGCCGCTATGAGCTTGGGAAGAGACTCAAAAGTGGGAGAGATGATTGGAAGTGGTGGTGAATTACTGATTGAGAGTATGCTTGAGAGGAGAAGGAATTATGAGAAATGTAAATTGATGGGTGTAAAAAAAGAAATGTCAAAGCCATTGATGGAGCTTTAAATCAATTATAAAGTAATTTTAGTTTGGCATATTTCGAATATCGGATCTGTTCGGGTCAATTTTGGGTATTGGGTTTGTTCAGGTCAAACACTTCGGGTCAATTTCGGGTCGGGTCAATTCGAGTGTCGGGTTAGGATCAAGTCAACTCCATTTTCGGGTCGGGTATGTGTCGGGTCGGGTCACTTTTGGGTTTTGGGTCATTTTCGGGTCAATGTTTTTAGGTCAATTTCGGGTCTTGGGTCGGGTCATTCGGGTCGGGTCATCGGGTTTGGGTCAGGATTGCCAGGTCCCAGTGGGATTAGGAAGGTTTAATTTGAGATTGAAAGAGGAGGGTTTGAGGTGGGGTTTTGGAAATGAAATAGTCAATTGGGTTGATCTGTCAATTTGTCATGAAGGATTGTGTGTCAAGAATCTGGGTGCTTTGCCAATACGTTTTTAGCGGATAACTTTCTTATTCTTAGAATGAAATTAGGTGGAGAGTAAATCAGATTTGTGTCTTTCAAAAAACCAAAAAAAAAAAAAATTAAATAAATTGATGTATCTTGATCAATACACCTAGTGTGTGATTATTATTATTTTCATTTGACAATTTGATGATTTGTACCTTTAAATCTGGTTGGTTTATTTTAATGGAATGTTAAATTTGATTGGTTTATTGAAATGTATTGGATTGATGACCTGGCACAGAATAAACCCAAAACGGAAAAAGAAAAAAAAATAAAAAAAAGGCAATTAAGAGTTGGACTGTAATTTAATGTTAGATTCCTTGGATATTTATTTTTCTTATTTTATGTGATTGCTTCTTTATAAGACTAACAAGATTCGGAGGGAGTAACATTTATGAAAACACATGCAACAAAAAGATGAAAAAACACTAACATACAACCCATCATTTCTTATTAATTTGTACCACACCAATTCATCTCCAACTAATTGTAACTCAAATTTGACATTATAATCCAATCAAATAACTCAAATCCATTTCATATGTAGATTTATCATTGCAAAAACAAATCTAATTAAAGATCAAATAAATTGACATTGCTCTTTCTCTCTGTGAGCTCTGTTAGAGGAACGAAGAAGACAAGAATAAGGGAATGAACAAGTGAAAAGCAGAACGAAAGATAAGAAGGCAAAGCTGAAAAAGAAAAAAAAAGGGTACAACCGTTAATTCACGCCATTTTTTAGGATATTAGTAAATTAAAATTAATTCATACTTCATACATTAAAATCAAGGAACAATCGTTTAAATCTAATATTCCAACCTTTGGATTTTTAAAAATAAAAAATAAAAAAAATAATTTTTTTCCTTTCCTCCATTCATTCTATTTCCCCATCCCTACCCCTTCCCTTAAATCATCCTGGCCCCTCCACTTCCACTAAATACCGGCAGCGGTAATCCCTCTTCCGATAGCCCTTCCCTTTCCTCTTCCCCCCCCTTTTCCGACCACTCCCACCCCCTCCCCCTCCTTTCCCAACCATTTTCTTCAGCATCGCAAATTTCTTGTTCAAACTACAGTGTTTGCTGAATCAATTATTCCCCAAATCAATTCAAGCTTCAAATTAAGCAGCGAAAAGTCGTTACAAGCATAAGAGTAGAGTTTTAAGCAAGAAATGGCGGACGAATTCACAGGTGAAGGGTTTGGGGTGATAGAGAGGGAATAAGGGGTGCAGTGGTGGGGACTTCAGCCGATTTCAAGGGTTTCGTGGGTGGGGGATGGCCGGAAAGGGACGGGATAGGGGTATGGGTTGGGAGTCGGAAAAGGGAGGAGAATGAGGATGGGGTGGTTGGGGGAAGAGTTAGAGGCGGCAAGGTGGCTGGGAAAAGGGAGGGAAAAGAAGGGGGAGGATTCGAGGGTGGGGGTGGGTTTTCCGGTGAATTCTGGCGGCGGGGGAAGGCAGCGGAGGGGGTTAAGGGGGTAGTGGGTTATTGTCCGGCGTGTTAGGGAGGGAGTGGGGGTGTTTTCCGGGAGAGGGGATAGCGGGCTGGTGGTTTGAGGGACAGCCGTTTTTTTATTTTTTAAACTCATTTTTATAGTTAAAAAATTGTAAAAGAAAATAAAAATTACCTGAAGAGAAGGTAACCGGTCATCTTGGCCTAATAAAAAGGAACACCCTCCAACGCTACTTGGATGGTTAAATTAATAGATTTGAATAGGCAAAAGGTTGGATTATTTAAATCCATTTTTCCTAAAATTAACGAATAAATTAAAATTATTTAATTAGAGATGCCCGACTCGTATTATTTCTTATAAAAGGGGGTTTACTTTAGGTAAGAGAGAAATTAGAATTTGTGTGAGACTTTGAAGAATTGAGGACACGAGAAACATTCAATTAAATTAACAAACTCAACACTTGGAGTTGATCGAACAAAGAAGGAGATAAGAATTGATGGTAAAGACGAGTTTATATATCTAAAGTCTCTAATAGTTTCGCCATTAGATGATTTGAGACTGGATATATGTCATCGATTTCACTCATGGAACTGTTCAATTTACTAAAAATCGTTGAATTCAGCGTCTCAACCGCTTTGCGAATCGCTTACGCATATCTAATGTAATTATTCTCGAAATTCTTTAAAATTTTCTAACAATTACAACACTTGATTTTGTTTAGAGCTCATCAGTGATGCATTCAACTTTAATTTGCGACATGATCATTTAATTTGATGGTTTTTGATCGAGAACAAGTTGAATTGAGTCAAGGATCAAAATATTTAAAGATGTGTTATGTTACATTTAACTTTCATTCAATTTAATTTTTAACTAGTAGTAAATATTTCTAATAAATTCAATGTTGAACTTGCATATTTCCATGAGCATTAGGGCAATAAAGATGAAATAGAAGCCACTACACAAGACTCGAAGCAAGTATCAATGATGATGATAATTCTGCTGTTGCAAAAGAAAAGGAGCTTGATTACATTGACATAAACCAAGTGAAAAAGGCAAAGCAATATTCATTTAGGACTCGCTTCAAAATTTGAAAGACCACTATAAGCTTTACCGCACTCACAAAGGTCAAGAGAGACTAGTGCAGATGCACTATGCATATCTTTGTGCCACTGATGTATTGTTGGATACGGAGGGTTCAATATTTGTTCACTGTAGCAACACATTACCAAAATTTACTTAAGAATAGCTTGGCCAATTCTTGGTGAACTTATATATACAATTAGATTAGCTTGGACATACGAGTTGAATGAAACAGTTTATTAGATTAGCATCCTATCAAACATTTCGAACTTGTTATGCTTGTGATTCAATCAATGTAGCTAGCATATGATCGGTCATTCTAATATTCTGTAATTGATATATATGATGTAGAATTTTCTTGAGTTTGAAAGGCAGTAGTCATAACCTTTTTTACACTTAGTTATAATAAGCCAAAATTTTGCTGATGTTGTTTTCTTGATGCCATATAGAATCTATGGAACAACAAAATCATACATTCAATTCAAATGGAGTTGGCTTATACTTATGGTAAACTGTGTTTTCACATATGTTCTATTTCCCTTCACCCTTCCTACGATGAAGAGGGAATCTTGTCCCTGGCATTGACTTATTTGAGCATGATTAACACTGTGCTGTAATTTGTGGTCTTGGGGATGTGATGTAAACTCCAAATGTATTATTATTTTTTGGTAATAATATTTATGGCAAAGCAAAATATATATATATATATATATATATATATGTGTGTGTGTGTGTGTGTGTGTGTGTGTGTGTGTGTGTGTGTGTGTGTGTGTGTGTGTGTGTGTGTGTGTGTGTGTGTGTGTGTGTGTGTGTGTGTGTGTGTGTGTGTGTGTGTGTGTGTGTGTGTGTGTGTGTTGAGCGCGGGGAAATTATGTCGTTGACTAACCTCCTCACGGCCAAACAAAATTTATTATAATCCTAAACTAACCCCTAAACAAGTCTAGTGGTAAGTTCGGAGTCGAACCACAAGGAACGGTAATGTTGGATTGTTCTCGATCTAATGCTTAAGCTACGCCGAAGTCGGTTTATGGATAGTGGACACTACAACTACACTAACACACATATAAAGATCAAGATATTACAAAGTCTACTAGGGGCAAAGATCCACTTTGAACAATTAACAAGTTAATGGGAATCGATTTGATAATCAATCATGCAAAGAAAGAATTAAAATGGGAATTAATTACCATCAAGAGCAATCTCTCAAATTCCTAGCCTAGATCCCTCATTGACTAGGTGCATAGAAGAAATTTACCCAAAATGCAATCAAATATATAAATTCTAATTCACAATCCCTTGTCAAACTAGAACTAACATGCAATTAAGTTTGCTATCTTGGGAGATCAATCGAATCTAAAACAAACAACATGCCATCATCAATTCAATCAATTTAATCACACAATTATCATCAAATTTATCTCAAATAACTCAATTAACCATAACAAAGCTTCACTCAACACCTAGTAGAAGGAAATCTACTCAAACATGATTAACAAAGCAATTAATAAAGCATA